CAACTTCCACCACCAGTCATGTGGAAACTTGCCTTGTCCTCCTCACTGGCCGTGCCGCAAGTTCTTCTCAAACATTTCTTACATTTCCTTTGTGCCACAGTCAGCTGTGAGTTGAGAATCACCTTCGCGGAGTTCCGGCTGAAGGGCCATCCGCACACAGATGTCCAGGCTTCAATGGGCACATCCCATCCTGCATCTTCAACTTGGTGCCACACACGTTCTCGGGAATTGTATGCTGTCGAAGCCACCCACAACTTCTTCGGCAGTGTCGTGACCACCACATTGCATTTGTCCACATTTCTGTTTTGCTCCTCCGTGACCGCGCCGTGCGAAGGTGACACTGCAGGAGGTTCCGGAGCTTCATCCATTGCCCCGGCTGGTTTGTTTCCCTGACTTTTGGGTGGTCTTTTGGTCTTGCAGTCATCGTTCGACTTCAGGTTCCTGTTAGCCGGTTCTGATTGCAATGCATCTTCTGCATAGGTGAGCACCACTGACGACTTCCATCGTCCCAGGAATGCCAACTCTTGTATAGGCATGCCTAGTCTAACGTAGCCCATCGCACCTGATCTCCTGGCTGAGTGCCCTTGAATGTCAGGTCTGGTCACCATGGCCCACCCCTCCACCATCTTCGCTTTTGACAGTCTTTTGTTCTCGGAGTCCTGGAAAACGAATTCCTGTGGATCTCTTTGTTCTCCACGAAGGGCCTTCCACAATTCCATCCATATTCTCCAGGGGCACCATCTTTGGCAGGTTCTGAAGAGATTCTCTTTCTGACCCAGTCCGCCGTGATGTCCTTCCATCTCATGGCGCTGACTTCGATCTCCCTCAACATCCATATGACCGCCCAGGCGTATGACAGCGCTGGTCTGATGGTCCTTTTGGGGCCGCGACATATGAGGATCCACTTGATGTGCTCGATGTCATCCAGCTTGAACTCGGGTGCTCTCCTCACTGGTCCTCTGTTCCTCTTGAGCGATCTTTTGCAGTCGGCCATCGCCCTATGCAGTTGTTGGCTGACATCCCAGCCGGCCTCGATGTGCATCAACTTCAACTCGTTGATGTATTGATCTCCCGAGGTCCAACCCACGGCCTTTATCGCCGCTGCCACATTCTCCACCGTCTCGATCTTCAGCGGGAAGGGTCGGCATCCTTGCCCACAAGCCTCCATGGCCATTGACAAGACTTGTTCTCTTTTGGTTTTCTGGGATGCCCTGGACGAGTCGGCCATGAAGTCCTTCCTCAGTTCTTGTCTGGCCTTGGCCAACCTTTCCTTGCCCTTCAGAACGTCCATGACCTCTTCAAATGAACCTCTCTTGGCGGCTCCTTTCTTCCCTTCCAACTCTTCTCGAAGTCTTGCCGCATCATCTGCCTCTTGCACCTTGGGTTTGACCCGCTTCAACTCCTCAAAATGACGAGCTTCACCATGCACTCGATTCCGAATTAACTCATTCATGCAGTTCGAGGGGTCCCTGAATCCAAAGCTCATCACCCCCATAGTCCTTCTCGTGTTCACTGAATGCGGGATCCACGTCGCAGCATGGGCCCCGGAGCCACTCCACCAAGGCGGTGCATGTCGTGCAAGTCCTGCACCACGGGTTGAGCTCTCTGTACCATGGCTTCGAGGATCTGTGTACGAGCTGCTTGTGCCTCTGGAGATCTCCCTGGGGACACCAAGCTGGGATCTGCTGACCTTTTCTCCTCTGGGGTGATGCTGATTTGCCTTCTCCTTGTTCGTTCTCTCGATGGCGATCGGTCTCTTCTCGGCTCCTCTCCC